AAACTTCCTCATGAAGAGGCTACTCTTGACAGAGTGCTCCTTTGTTCATTGATTCATTTTCCCTCTGCTGACCATGGACTCTCCCATCTCAGATGCCATGTTGGGCTCAGGGCTCTTGTGTTGGACTCCTGCATTCTGTAGTAGTTTCTGGCTCCCACTGACTTAACTTCAGAAACACTTGCCTATTACTTGCCAGCACCATGCTGACCTTGGTTCAGCCTGACCTTGAAACCATTATCTATGGCTCAATTACTAGCTTTTCTGAAGCATCTCCACACTACTCCTTACACTAACCCACTGTGTCCCAGATTCTAACCCATCTGGTTGAGTGGAAACCATGTTCCTAATTCTTTTAATTCTTCTTGACCAAGTCTCTAATTCCTGATTTTTCTCAAACCAGCAATAAAATGTGATTCTAAATGTAACTCCTTTGAGAGTATTAGTTCAAATACTGGCCTGTTTGCCCCTCTTCTGTTTTTGCTCCCTGTTTGGTCAAAGTTTATGACTTATCTCCTGTCTTTATTAGCCACTGTGTGCCATTCTAGAACTCTTTGAAACAAAGGTGTTTAGAGACTTAGAAGAGCATCGTCTCTGATGTAAACATTTCCAGGAATTACAAGATGATGTACTAGATAATCTGAGATAATCATGTGACTTTTAGCAAAACAAATTTATTCACAACTACTTTTATGTTTGTATTAGCTAAATATAAAAATTATTCCGCATTCTCCAAACTCAGGCTAAATAACAGTGAGAGGAAATTCATTTGCCTGTCAGGAAGATTTAAATTTTTACCATGGTTGTATGTGGATTGCCTATTGTCATATTTTTTAATAATTTCAGAATCACATAGGACACCCAAACAAGCAACAGATCAAAAAGCATAAGAAAAAGAACAACAGTGCTCTTATTTAAAAAAAAGAAAGATTCTCTAGGAATGTACATTAATGATCATATTCACATGTAGATCAATGGATTTTATTTAGTGTCTAGTTTCTTGACGAGAAGGGAAGATATAGTGTTATCTGCCACATTCGTACCAGCCACTTCAACAATTGCATTTCAACCTCTGTTTGCAGCTGCTCAGCCCAGCAGTCCCTCCTATCCACTTGGACAACCTCAGACACAAGGCTTCTGTGAATGTGATGACTTTGAATCTCAGACACTGAGCTCACATAGTAACTATAAGTACATTCAGGTCTCCATGGCCAGAAGAGAAAAGGATGCCAGAGTTAGAAGCCATTATCAACTCACAACATACAGAAGAATGAGAAGTCAACTTAAGGAGAAGAGTAAGGTACACTGCATGTCCCTGTCAGTATAAAGGCACATTCCTCACCAGTGGTGCTGAAATAAGAGTTAGGTTCCCAGGCCTGCACAGGCTTGAGAGTTCTCTACTGCCATACTTTAGGTTTGGGCAAGCAGGTAAGTTCCAGAAAATCAAGTCTCACTCTCTGTTAGCTAGAATTGCTGTATTTTTCAGTCTTTCAGATAATAAAAGGAAGCTTTAAAGAGGCTCAGTTTTCCAGATATTTGACTCCCTGTTTCTGCTTCTGAGGAATGGTTTTATACCTGGGGATACATAGTAATATTATTTCCTCCTTAAATTAGGCCAAAACTTGAGAGATTTAAAACATTACATTTCACTTCACATAACTTGGGAATAAAAAAATTAAAAATGATGAATATTTTAGGTAATCATTTGACCCTAACCCTCACTTTAAACCAAACAGCATTGTTTGGGAACAAAATTTTCTAAGACAAGTATATAGAAACACTGGACCAAATGAATTGCAAGTTAGCACATTTGTCTCTGCAGGCAGCCCTATAACACTCTCCTTTTTCCCCAGGGAGTTCAGGAACTGAGAGCCAGGACACTACCTGTTGTGCAGTTGACATATGGTACTTGAGGGGTGACTGTCATGATGTAAATGTGTCCATGGAGAGCAGCTCAGTGCATTAGAAGCCAGGAAGAAGAAGAAATGATTAAATATCCCAATCAGGGTGGTTCCTGCCTGGAAGGCTGCAGAAATGCTAGAAAACCTAGTGTTTATAACATGTTCATTAACATTATCAGATTCTTATTCTTATAAAATTTGAGAAGAATTGCCTGCTTGTATAGATCTTTCCAAAACAGCAATGTATATTTTAAGTCAAAACTCAAGATTGTCTTCAAAGTAGAATAATGTCTAAATCTGCTCATTAATGGAAAGTCTACTTAAGTTTGCAACTTTGCCGTTCCAAGTTAAATCCCGACTTTGAAACATCACTGGCAAATCTGAAAGTAAAATAAGAAAAAGTGAAGCAATGGAAAAACCTCCCCTGGCTCACAGTGTTGAACAGAAGGTATTTCCAATCCTCAACATGTGTTTTAGTGCTTTCTTTTATGAAGAGGAAAGATCATTCCATAACTGTGTCATGGAGATCACTTCAGAAGAAAAACAAATTTCTCTGGAAGTAAGTTACCTTTATTTTTGCATTTTGTAAAAGAGACAACATTTAGAGAGAGCGATTCTCCGACTTAATCTCCTTCTCTACGTACTTTGAAGAGTATCATCTATTCTGGAAATAGGCCATTAAATCAATTCTCCTGGCAGAAAATGAAACACGGATTATTGATTGATTATTTACCTAAAATGAAATCGGCACCACATGAATGAAAGAGATGTGGATACTCATTTTACTTATGGTGTCCCAAGTTCAAATGGTCTATATATATTTTTAAGAACAATTTTTCTTTAGAACATCAATCTTCTCATTTTGTAGTAAATAAGACACTAATACAAGAAAGCCAAACATTTTTTGAGAAAAAAAACTTTCTCAAAATATTTCTATATAATATCTTTAAAAGTAGAAGAGTGGTGATAAAGGTACATATGAATCAATTGTCCCTAAAAAATACTATTGGAAGCTACACCAATATCTGTTTTCAAATAACTACAACTTAGTTTTTCCTCAGACTGTGAAAAATTTTCTAATCTACTATATTTTTCTGTACCTTCCAGGCAAGAGCCATTTATAGTGAGCAGTCAAAAATGGGTTTTTCAACAAAATGGGTTTTCCTCATCTATTAGAGAAAATAGTGAGCATTTGTTTTATCACACAGGAACAAGTTTAGTCAACTATTCATCCCACCAAGTGACAGTGTTTTTCTCGGCAAAGGAAAGAAATGGGTGATTTCTTTACTCATGCCGCCTTCTCTGCTGCTTCTATTTTATTCTTCCCTACACGATATAGAAATAAATGAGGAATGAAATCATATTTTTATAAAAACCCTTAAAAGATGAAAAAATGCTGTCTGTGTATACTATACTTCCAACTTCATCAACAGAAAGCAGAGTTGAATATTTGTTCCTATAAACCTACCTGTTTTCACCCCTCAGCGCCACAGGGAGCTTCTTGCAGCACTGCCCACACCATTCACTTCTCTACCCCTTCTCCTTCCTTGAGTCCACGGTTAAGAAACTCACACAGGTACTATATCTGGATGTAGTGTTCCACATACTGTTAGGTTTTTGACCCATGAATTACTTAATGAAATAAAATATGTATAATAAATGTATGAATATGATCTTTGGAAACAGTTATTTTTTCTTAAAAGTGGTTCGTAAACTACTCATAGGTCCACCTAATTTGTTCCTGGAATGCAAAATAATCATTTGTTTGCTAGTCATAATACAGATATCTACAAATGACCCATTATCTCAAGACAATTGAATTAATAATTATTGTAGACTAAATCATAAAGGAACAAGATATGGTCCTAATGTCAAAGAACTCAGTTTTGGGGAAAGTCAGTGATGTAGACAAAGTTACTATAGAGTCTTAGTGAATAACAGAAAACCACACATGGTGCAGAAAGGCATAAAAGTAGTTTCGTTCATTTGTTTGCTTGTCGGAGGTTCACTGAAAGTCCTTCTGCTAAAAATAGCATATTCTTCCCCAAACCTGCCATGCTGCTGTCATGAATTGACAATAAATTAATCATTTGGGATAATGAGATGCTTCCCCAAAGCTTGCATACAATTTGGTGTTACTTGGAAAACACTGATGCCTTAATACCTATTATCATATTAACAAGGATTCACTCATTCTGAAAGGAGGAGGACACAAGATATGGGTGCTTGGGTGAGAAGACAATTTAAAGGCTAATTCATGGGCACAGCTCATCAAAGGACTAGCTCAAATGGGACATAAATTCAGGACTAGAAAATGGACCAGCATTGTGAAGGCATGAAGAGTGACAAGGCTTGTCCAGACCAGACTTCTTAAAAACAAGGCTATTACTCACTGTTCTCCTAAAATTAGATCACTAATTAATCAATCAAAAGATGTTTATTAGACACATTTCTCTCACAGTATGTTTTTATAATATAGTCTTGGGAGTCAAATCAAGACCACCCTCCCTCCTCTTTCCTATGACTGATTAAGGATTTTCTCATATCCCAATGCCAGCAAGATATCAAGCAAATATAATTTTAAAAATCAAAAACTAAGATTTCTGACCCAATGCATTAAAAGTTGCTGGCTCAGATAGTTGTTGACTGATTTTCCTCCTGCCTCTCCCAGACAGGATTGCTTTAGACTGATGTTGCCATCTTTATATCCTCTCTGTTCTCTTTAGACAGCCACCAATTTCTCTTCTCCTTACAAGACAGCTGGTACACTCCACCTAAACTTTCTTTAATCTTCTTCATCAGTTTTCTTTCCACCCCTTCCCTAAGCAGATGAGGAAAAAATTAAAATTTCTAAGTGTTTAAAAGAGTAAAGTCCAAGAGAGGCCAAATAATGACTCAGTATCACTAACTATCAACAAAATTTGAGGCCACAATTGGGTTCCAGATTTGTCTCCAATTCTCCTAACCCTTATTCCATCAAGATCAAGGAAAGAACACTTCTTATTTTCACACCATGTCTGCATAGTATCTTTGAACGTTGCAATTCCATTGTTGCTAAGTCTACCCTTTTTCTTCTAATTGACAAGAAAAGATATACACGAGTTCTTGAAAGGCATGTTTATTACTAATGAAAATAGCACACTGATATACACAAGAAAAGACACTTTTATAAATGTAAAGAAAATGTTTGTTTCTAATTAGCTAATATTAAGACTAGACATTTTTAAGAAAATTATACAGTAACATGAATTTATTTGATCCCATTTAGGATAAAATATCATTATAAGTAAGATGAAAAAGAAAAATCCTTCATTACCCATACTCCACATTGAACATAAACTAGGGTTGTACACTATTGCACAAGAATCACAGTCTTTATATATAAGTATACCTATATCCTCTGATACCATTATTATTTTTTCCTATATATGCCTTTAATCACTAAAGAAGAAATATAAGAAAGGGGAAAAAATAGGATGAGGAATCATTTAATCTCAGCTGTAGTAAAAGCTATGTAGTTGAGGGAAAAGATTAAATCTATCCTGAGTGAGTGGTTTAACTTTGTCTTATTAAACTCATAAGAGTAGTAGTATATGGTTTTAAAAACTCATGGGTCAAAAAAATTTCCAGGCAAATTCTTTAAATCATCAATTACATTATGGTACTCTCCCACTTTCCCACCTCCAGCCAGGATGCTTTATGGAACACAATGCAACAGACTTGAAGACTGCGACCTTCACATCAATTTTCTGCGTTTATCACACATTTGGGAACAGAATGAGCAAGGATCCTGACTCACTGCAGCTGGATTATAAATGAAGAAGATTGGCCCCACCCGTTTCTACTGGGAATTGTTAGAAACATATTAGAGGGGGAAAAAAACCTGACCCATATTATTCTTGGCTAAAACATCTCAATTTAATAAAGATAAGTTATTCTCCTAAATCAGCTGTTTCCTTATGAAATAAATATGTTGTCTTCCCTTCCCATTGCAAAATGGAAATCCACTCCAGGACTGAGAGACGTCAAGGTGCCCATGGTTGAAAACATGAAAATGACACAAAGGTACCAGCTGCCAACTTATTTGTGTTGGATGAAATGAAAGGCAAACTTAGAAAATGAGCACACAAATGAATAACTAGCTCAGGTATCATATAAGTGAACATATTTTTATGTTTTAGAGTCTACAAAAAAATACTTGTGTAGTTTCCATTGTTTTGTCAGAGGTAATATTAAGTCAGCGCTGTTCACCTACATTATGATTCACTACGCAGCCACAAAACAAAACAAAACAAAAAACAGGACGTGGGAAGCCGATCCAGACTGACTAAATATTGAAGAATTAAAAACAGAGGTGGAAATAAAATCAGGTAAAACCCACACTTGTCTTATTGTGTGAAGTAAATATGACGTTAGGCCTCATGAATGTGAACAAATACCCTTCAGTCATTGCAATGGTGAAAATGGAGCCCTGTTTACCAAATAAATTTCCATTTACCCAGAACCCATGAAAAAAGCATCATGTAACTCAATGATAGAGGCTGCATCTATAAGACTAAATAATCTATAGTACCTCATAAATCTGGAAAAAAATTAAGTTTGAGTTATTTACCATACATTTTTAGTACTTTACTGCATTTTATTGTCTTCAAATAAGTTGACAGTCTTACTAAATATTATATTGGTAGGTTAATGACAATCGTCAAAATATTTCAAACTATTCATTCATACAGCCTAAATGAGAGTCTGGCCTAAGATTTTAAAATAACTACTTAGATTGTCTTGGGGAAAGCTCTTATACTCACAGAGCAGAGGATTGTTACTGGGGAAACTGCATTTTGCAGTCTTTTTCAATGTAGTTCAGCTACAGAAAAGGTAAGATGAAACTCTTTATTCCTAAACTAAGGCCTTCTGGGTTTTTTTTGTTTTGTTTGTTTTTTTCTTAATTCCTTCACTCTTCCATTTCACTGGTATGGAACAGACATTAATGTAGGGCTAAGTAATTTGCTTTTTCATGACAAGGTCATGCAAAAGGAAATCAGAAATAGTGATGTGTGTCAGAATTCCCAAATCCCCTCTTCACTGCTTGGCTTGTGGAAAACAATGATCCTACTTTGGCTCAGTCTGTACTTCTCCTAAGTGCTTCACATGGTGAACTACTCTGGACAACCTTTATGTCCACCTAGAATTCAAATGGGTGGCAAGCACTCATTCAAAGAGTTGCCTTCTAGGGTTAATTTGTGACTAAAAACAAACAAAAACTTTTTTTCATCTAATTTCATCCAACACAAATAAGTTTTGGGGAAAAAACTTTAAAATCTTAAGCAGAAAATTTTGGAAGTTTCACAAATAAAATCAAGCATTTAGTAGTGACAACTATCTTTATAATACTTAAATATTTTTAAAATAATTATCAATTATTTTTCAAATTCATCTAGAAGAAAATATCCCATCAATGGCTTGTATCCATGTTAAACTACTTGAGGATCCATTTTGTGATTAGGGAACAAAAAGAAATATTAAATGGAGATTAGGGAGCTATACACACACAGACACACACACACACACACACACACACACACACACACGGGGAGGAGAGGGGAGGGCAATGTTACCCATATGTACTTTGCAAAATGCCTGGATAGCTTAATGGTTTTCCCTAGGTTAACAATGCATGTAGCTGGCCCTAATATTTAGTTTATGCTGACCTCATAACAAGTAAAATTGGCAGTAATCAAATTGAGAAAAATAAGTGAACCAAGTATTTTATCTTATAGTTATTCTACCTCTGGTTAATTATATCCAGTCAGGAAATTAATCAAAATGTTCAAGATTTTTTTGGCAATATGAAGGTGTCCAACATAATATATTTGCATTAATAATAACCTACTGCCTATGCAATTTTGTATTAATTATTTAGCGTTCTCCTTGCTCCTTCCCAAAGCTACCCATTCAGAAAAAAAAAAAAAACTAGCAAAGAAGAGTTTTTGACTTCTATTTTCAGTCAAAATTTATGTACAGTGTGAACTTTTCTAACTTATACAATTTTAAGAATGTTTTAATTGCCATGAAAGTCTCATCTTGTTTTGTGTAAGTAGGGATATATACAGGAGATATTATACAAAAGAGAAGCATCACCAATGAGCTAATCTAACATGAGGTAGTGAAGTGCTGTTTTCCAAATTAAAATGCCAGCAACTACAGAAGAACCAGGATTTGTCCAAGACATTTTGTGATTTCAGAAGCAGTCAGGGAACCTGTTGGTACTAACTGAGTCCATCAATCCATCAGCAAAACTTGCTATCTATGCTGTGGCTTTGATCCCATACCCACTCCCTCCCTGCCCACGTGATTAAATTCTTCTTTCTACTAATAGCAACTGTCTAAATGTTATACATGTGTACTATTCTGGAAAGCTTAAAAAATAGGATATTGAAGAAATTAAATAATACCGTTAAATATGCCCAGGAAATTCAAAATCCTGATAGAAGCATCAAATATACACCTAATTCTATTTTGCAGCAGAAGATTGTTCTTTTCTTCGGCAGTTTGTACAAAAACAAAAAGAACCATTCTATTTAAATAAATGTCTTTCCCCTTCAACTTGAAAATAACAAGCATGATACAAAATATTGACTTACTAAGCTTGACTCCTTGTAATAGGCTCACCTTATTTTCCTATTGGGAAACCTGAGGCACAGTTCTTAGGAGACACCCTCAAAGATACAGAAGCAGACAGAAATTGCAGCCTTATGTCTCAGGTCTGACTTTTTTTTTCCATAATACTTTTCAGAATGAGTGCAGCTCTGAATTTCTGGAAACACAGTTCTTGGTCTTTGTAGAAATAAAAATCATCACATCTCAACTACATTCTGAAAATTTAAGCTGGGAAAAAAAGTATGCCCCACATATACTAAATTTTTTAATAGAAAGCTCTTCTCTCAACAGTGTTCAAAATCCAGGTGAGTGATATGACATAGATAACAAGTGGTCTCCATCTTCTGTAGGCTCCAATTAGTGTCAAAACGGGTGTTTGGGTCAAAGTTCTTCCCTGTCATTAAAAAAGAGAGAGAAAGAGAGAGAAATTCGTTGGAAAAACAAGAATGTACTGAAATATGTTTTTGTTGTAATACATTGATCTACATTCCTAAAATCACCAGTGCTTTCTATTTTTCTTCTTTGGAGTACATCTTTTTGTACTCTGCTAAGTTAAAAAAAAAAACAAAACTACAAGACCATGCAATGATTTCACAGAATCCTAAATTAAGTCCATTAACATTTTCTTGGGCTGCTTGATTTACAAGAATGATGAGACTAAGTAAAAACTGAAAATGCTGTATGGGCTATGTATGTGCCTCCATTTTTTCAAAGCCATCTTCCACCTGTGAACATCCTCACAAACGCTATAGAATCTGTGTGGAAATTCTTTTGTTTCACAAGATCTTCTAGTTTGAATCTCTGTTTCATGGATGTTTTTTGTGTATTTTAATGTGAGGCAGTATATCATAGAAACAAGCATGTCATCATCTGCTTATCCCTAATTAGGATGAATCCTTTCTTGGAATGTCTTGGCCAAGAGCTGATGTATTTTTAATTCAGGTAGCACATTTGGGCAGGTGGTTCTGAAGGACTTACAATGGGTTTTAGAAAAGACAAAAACATCATTGATGTTCTTTCTGTTGCATACTACTGAAATAGACCCATGGGACATTTTCTGGCTAGAGATGCAGAGATGAATGAACGTCCCAGTTTTAAAAGGCAAACACCAGTATTATTGCACTGACAGCTTTCAGCAAGGATTGGAAGCACTTCCTGGGAGCCCAACCAGATGCCTAAAGATTATTAGAGGTGTTTCCACCATGCATATGGATTTTAAAATGCAACTTACTCAGTTTATTTTGATGGCCATTTGTTCTTTCTAGAAGAGAGGGATCATGAGTCAAGGAGGCTACCCATTGGAGAAAAAGTATTTGGAGCAAAAAAGCAGAGGATCAGTTCAGGGCCATGACTATTATCTAACCATTGGACAACTTCTTTTACACACAAATCATTCTGGTGAAGGTAACTGACTAGGACCCATCCATGAGCAAGTACTTCTGTGAGGGCAGCAGTAGGACCAAACATCAATAGCAAATTAAAAATCTCACCACTACAGTCAACTAATGCCCACAGTGGTCTCTTTTCAAGATAGTTTATTTCTGTAACCTAAGTCTTATTGTGGATTCTGGAGAACAAAGAAAAACTCGCAGGAACTTGCTCAAAATTTATACTGAGTAAAGCAAATGGAAAGAGACAGAATGAAACTGCAATAATCTTGATAGAGGGAGGAGGTACACTTTAATGAGATTGTTATTCAAAGCATACTGAAATATATATAGAGATGGAAACGGAAGGATGTGCTGAAATATGTGAGGATTTATGTCTCCTCAAATGCCTTTCATAGAAACCATCTATGAAAACTACTTTATGGCAATGGATTACTGGCAAGATCTATGCAGATAAGAGAGAAACTATGACATAGCTCAGGAATCTCTAGGCCAAAATAGATAGGGTCTTAGTCTGAAATCTTCTCTGTCACTGGCTATCATTATCATCTTAAGTAAATGTCTTCATCTGCCCAAGACTTCCTTTCCTCAATTAAGGAACATCCAACTTATACAATAATTATAAGAAGTAATGAGATAATCCATATTTATATACATAAAGAGCTCAATAAACGTTGATGATTACCAAGACCTCTGTCACATGAACAGGAATTACATGCACATGCTGGCTATACTACTCTAAGATCAGCTATTAAGATCAGGGGTCGGGGGCTGTGGTAAATGCTTACATTTGATGCTCTCTCACAAAAGCTGCAAACTCAGGATCATTGGCATACAGTTCCAAAATTCTCATTCTCTCTTGAATTTCCTTAAACAACAACAACAAAAAAAGTCACATACTGCATTAGAAAAATTTCATCAGTCTTTTGGAAGATATAATTATTATAAGGAATTGTGAGATTCTAGGCTATCCAGGGAAGAGCTATAAGAAAGCATTCTCAAAATGGAAGGTTCTATATGTACTATTAAATATTGCATGGACTGCTCTAACCCCAGCATACATTCCCAAGAAAGTAAGTGGGGCAGGAAAGAGTATTTACTAATAATGGAAACGAGTCACTTGGTGGGAAATAAGGTACAGCTCAAAGTTGAATATTTTTGTATACCACATTGGCTGGGAGATATCATAAGGTGAGAATGAATTGTGAAATATTTTTCATTTTCTCTCAAAGCCTGTGCACATACACACACATACATCAGTAGTAGCAGCAGCAGCAGCTGCTCCACAACAGAAATGCAAAAGTTTCCTACCTCTTTGGAAAGGTTAGTGCTCTCATACATCTGTCTGATTTCTTCTCTGCTCAAACCACCAATCACTGCTTCCTTAGCAGAGCTGCGGAAGGCATGCTGAGCATAGGGTTCCTCATATTGATCACGCCTGGCCTTGCGGCTTTCATACGCAGGGTTGCACTTCACAGCGTTCTCAATGGATGAGAGGCTGTCTGGCTGCCTGCTAGAGCCAAAAGAAAAAAAGATATGACTGATTCAAGTTCTTTGGATGCTTTACTACTTGAAAGATAAGATTTCTGATGAGGTAGAAAAAGAAAGGTAATAGACACAAATGGGGTGGGGGTAACTGTGAAGTATCCAGATCTCAAAAATTATTTGTAAAGTTTCATCATTATTATCTCCTCAGCTAAATGGCAAGCATTCTGTGGCACTATTTCATTCATCTTATTTTCTCACAGTGCCGGAGATTCAATGCATATTGATGGGAACTGTCTGTCAGTGGATACTATTCCATTAAACAAATACAACTGCATCATTCTAAGAGTTAAACATATCAAAAATTAGTGTATAACCACACTGAGACTCTGACACAAATACAACTATAGGGAGACGGGAGCATCTGGGCTTCAAATTCAATTCAGGTCTAAAAATATTTAATGGGCATTGATTGTACACCTAGGACTGTTCTAGATGCTAGTGAAACAAACAAACAAAAAAACCCTGAAATCTTTGCCCTGAATGAGATGATAGTCTGGTGAAAAAATCAGAGTCAACAGGAAGCATAAGAACAATGATGGAGGTATGTCCTGGGTGCTCTAGGGACTCAGGAAGGGTACCTCCTTAGCCAAGGCAGAGGGAGAGGGAAGGAAGGATGCCCTTGGGTAGCGCTGGTAGACTCCAGCGCTGGCACTGTATCAATTTCAACCAGGGACTATGATCACAAAACAACCCAAAGTGTCTTTGGATCCCTTGTCTAACACAGGGGTCAGGCTCTATTTCCCCCATTAATGAAGCCATGTTTAATTAAACAGAGAACCAGATTTCATTTCTTGTCATTTCTTGTCAGATCCTTACCCAGATTTATAATATGGTTAATTACCCCTGGTTATGAGCTAAAGGAGAACAAAATGTAACAGAGCTGACCTTCGACAAGGGAAACTCACTTTTCCCATCTCATCTCCATCGATCCCGCTCCACATCTCCCCCACTACAAAACAGGCATTCCAGCCACACTCAAGGTGCCCTTCCTCCAGAAGGCTCAGGCATGCCTCCCTGACTTGAATCATGCTCATTCAATTAGCTGAGAAGTCTCATCTACTCCCTTCTGTCTGATAAATACCACAATATTTAAATATCTTTAAAAGGCTCTCCCCGGGGCAAAAATTAGTTTATTCCTCACCTAGGCCTCTTAGCATCTCACTAATGGTGTTACTTATGTTTCTTTTCAATGTGAAACTCCTTTGAGGACAGGGCCCAAGTTTTATTCAACCTACAGCTCTCTGTCCAATATTTGATACATAGTAAATGCCAAGTGAATGAGTAAACAGAACATTTTCTTCCATCAGGGAGTTCTCTTCCTTATTTACCGGAAGGGCCGCTCTCCTTCTCTTGGGACATGCTGAGCCTGAAGAGTCTTGACAAGGAAGAAGATGACAATCGAAGAGACGAGGAGAAGTCCAATCACAGAGGCTATGGCGATGCCTATGACCAAGGGCTCAGACACAAACTCCTCACAGTGCTCACCTCGGTACCACCAGTTCTCACCCACCCGGCATCTGTAACAAATGCAAACTCTGAATCACTTTGTTCAAAGTGGCAACGAACAGCAGAACCTTTGGTAGGACTGGGGAAAGGTACACATATAAATGCCAATCATGTGAAGCTTCACTGAAGAAGCAAATATATGGCCAAGGATGTAGATTAGTGGTTCAGAGCCTAACATGTATGAGGACCTGGGTTTGATTCCTAGCACTATAAAAAAAATAAAAGGTAAAATATAGAATGAAATATTATTCAGCCTTAAAGAAGAATGAAATTATGGCATTTGCTGGTAAATAAATGGATGGAGCTGGAGAATATCATGCTAAGTAAAATAAGCCAATCCCCCCAAAACCAAAGGCTGAACGTTTTCTCTGATATGCAGGTGCTAATTCACAACGAGGGTAGCTAAGGAAGACTAGCATTACTTTGGATTAGACAGAGGAGAGTGAAGGGAGGGGAAGGGGGATGGGGGCAGGAAGGATAGTAGAATGAATCTGATATTATTACCCTATGTACATATATGACTACATAAAAGGTGTGATTCTACATCATGAACAACCGGAAGAATGAGAAGTTACACTCTATTTATGTACAATGTGTGAAAATGTATTCTATCGTCATGTGTAACTAACTAATTAGAACAAATTAAAAACTTAAAAAATAAATAAATAAACCTCATTTTAATACTGATGGCCTTATAATCATCTCTGAAACCCCTAATACAGTTACTCTAAGTACCTCAGTAGCACATATTTAGACAAAATTTTTAAAGTTCTAAACTTAAATAATAAACTAAACTGGGTATATAATTCAGGACTATTAAATGACCCCGTCTTTACAAGAGAATTAGGCAGCAACCATCTACTGTATGGAAATAATTTCTATGATAAATATCATAAGAATAACCTTAAAATTATAGGTGTTAACCCCCCATTTTCTTCAAAAGTATCTATAACCTTTGAAGCCCAAATCTCTAATTACAGCATACCTACAAATGGCCCCATGCCCGGGCATAACGTCACACTTTCCGTCGTTCAAGCAGAAGTCAGGCTGTAGGTCACAGAGACTCTGACAAGGCAATTCATCCACACTCCTGTATCCAGGGTAGCATCTGCACTTGGCTTCTCCACTCCAGGGGTCAACCAGACACTCAGAAAATTCATTGCAGGCCTGAAACTTGCAAGGATTGGCTTCATCACCTAAAACATCAAATGAACCAGAAAATGATACAAGGAAAGACAAAGCACAGGAACTGGGGTATAGGAAGCCCCTCATTAAAGCTCCTCCCTCACATAACACAGGACAACACCCATTCTGAACCATCAAAGTACACCATCACCCGACCTATAACACAAAAAGTTCTGATACATCCTGGACTGAGAGTTTTTCAGTTCCTCTGAAACTCAGAGCCAAATCATAAAACTCCATGATCTGGGCAAGCCCCTACGTGTTTTATCCAGGGAGTATATAGAAGCTTTATAATCAATGTCATGTAACTATAGATCTGAACTGTACAGTTTTAGAGACCAATCATTCTCACCAAATCTACCCTGTTATAGTTCACATGCACACACTGCTATGCGCCTACCCCACACTGAGACCACAGGGTCAGACATGAGAGCCCAGGGGAGAACTGGGAGGAGCCTCAGGGATGGATATAGCCCCAGAAGAGGAGTCTTCAAGATAGTCTAGATTTGTGGAAGCCAATATTAGAAAAATAAATCACCCCTACCATCCTCCTCAGGCCATTCGCAACAATATCTTGGCTTCAGTAACCAGTAACTTCATTTTTCATTGAGAGGGTAAGGAAAAATGCCAAAAAAATTAATTAGAACAGTAAGCCATCAAAACTGATATAAGACACTAATTATAATGGGTCTTCCACCTATCATGGTCTCATCATAGGCTCTTCAATCCGTGAATGGCAGATAGGCAAATGGTGACAGAGATACTGGAAAAGAAGGAAACAGGTAGAAATGATCCATAGACTCATCTGTATGAAAAAGTATGAAGTTAACCTAAAAGAAAAGGAGAATAAAAAAGAAAAAGAACACACTTTCTTCGTTTTCAGAGATATTAATATTGTTTTGAAAAGCCATGAGTTTCTTGCTGCTCTGGAAATTAAAGATAATTTTGTATAAGTTTGTGTCCTTGAAGTTTAGAGGAGGATCTCTGAAGCCGGTCTCCAAAGTTCACAGGTGGGAAGAGAGGGGATGTATTAAATTAAAAGTTATGTGCATCTAGAACTTCAAAATAGGACTTTATGTATAAATAGAGTCTTTGCAGATATAATTAAGTTAAGAAGAAGTCATAGTGGATTGGGAGGGTCCCTGACTTAATGACTGAGATATCCTTATAAGAAAAGGGAAATCTGGACACAGACAAATGCAGAAGAACACATTATATAAACAGAGATTTGAGTGAAAAAAAAAAATGTCAAAGATTGTCAGAAAATACCAGGATCTAGGAAAAAGCAAGGAAGGATTTTTCTCTACGCTGCTGGGGGAAGCATGGCTTTGTCAATCTTTCATTTTGAACTTCTAGACTGAAGAACTATGAAAGGATACACTCTATTGTGATAAGCCACCCAGTTTGTGGTACCTTGTTAAACAGCCTTAGAAGAACAATAGAGCAGACACTACCAAGCAGCTCATGTAACAAGGCGAGCATACAGATGTGCTGACCTCCACTGACAAGAAGATCGCACAGCAAGATTCCACTGCGTATTTCCTCAGTCTTTACATCCTTGTCCTACTAATCATTTTGGTACTAAAATAATCTAATCTTGAGCTAGCCAGTGAGGAATAGAGGTGTATATAGTGGGTGGGGAGGATGGTATTTTATAGATCTCTTTTGTTGATGAAAGTAGAATTTTCTGATACACTATATGTGGGTGAGGGAGAATTACACAAGAGACAAATCAGTTGTTTTGTTTTTGCACAGGGCGATTGAATTGAGGAGAACTTACCACTGACCTACATCCCCAGCTCTTTAAATTTTTAAATTTTGAGATAAGGTCTCATTAAGTTGCTCAGGCTAGCCTCAAACTTGTGATCTTCCTGCCTTAGCCTCCCAAATTTCTGGGATTATAACCACTGGACCTAATGAAAAGTCAGTCTTATAGCTGCCGCTCTTGACATAAAAATGATCATCTGAGGACCTTTACCCAAGGTATACATGTAGAAGGAAAATTCTATTTGAAATTTTAAAACTTTTGTGGCCATTCTGTGGGTGTGTAAGAGGGCAAAAGAAAACAATTTACATTTTCTATATATTAGGAGAAAGGTATAGATAGAGGGAAAGGATAAATACTATCCCCTTTTGCTCCCAGAGGTCAAGCCTAATATTTATAAAAGAGACTAAATAGAGTCTCTTTCCTGACCCAGAAAGCTAAAGCTGGATGTGGAGAATAGCTTGCCCCTGTGGGAAAGTACCTTGATATATGGAGAAACAAAGGCAGATTTGGAGCTAAATTTGGAATGGGAGACAGGGATCTAAATTGTCAATGAATTACACAATTCTGGCTTTCCAGGAGCAGCCTACAAAAAGGATTGATGGGCCAAGGAAAATGAGAGTGGAGAGAATGTGAAGATGGTCTGGAAAAAAAGCTTCCTGGCCAGGGCAACATGGGAGCTGGCTGGTCCTGGGGGGAAACGGGTCAGTAGGAGATGCCCATGAGAGGATGGCTGAGGAATGCTAATGGTAGTATTTTTAACCATTTTCTGTGCTTCAAAAAAGCCTTCTTAATGACCTTCACATCATCAGCAAATATCTAATAGAATCAATGTCTTACATTTGAGATGCTTTGGAAAAAAACTTTAAAATGAACTAAGAACTGTGTTAGATTAACAGGAATAACAGACACAGAGTTAAGACACATGTGAGATCAAAAATTCAGCATAGTTTAAGAAACTCAGAGATGGAAGCCAGCTGCAGTGGTGCACACCTGTAATCCTGGGGGCTCTGGCTCCCAGCTCCCGGGACTGAGGAAGGAGGATCAAGAGTTTGAAGCCGGAGTCAGCAACTTAGAGAGGCAATTAGACTCTATCTCTAATAAAATATGAAATTTAAAAAAGGATTGGTGATGTGGCTCAGTGATTAAGCAACCCTGAGTTCAATCCCCAGTGCCAAAAAGAAAGAAACAAAGAAACTCAGAGAAGTAGTAATTAAGTAATTAAGAGATAGTTAAGTTCCCTAACAATGCCTATGGGTATTGAGGGGTGGAGAAACATTGAATGTTTTCTTCTGTATGTGGGAGAGATTACTGCCCGTTCATTTGACTATTAAAAGAAAAGGTGACCCTATAGGGGTTGGGGTTGTAGCTGAGCAGCAGAGTGCTTGCCTCCCAGTGTGAGGCACTGAGTTCTGGATCCTCAGCACCACATAAAAATAAATAAATAAACAAAATAAAGGTATTGTGTCCATCTACAACTAAAAAAAAATTTTTAAATGGTGATACTATAAAACTGGATGACTTGGCATGCAGCCACGTGTGAGTTACATAATAAATTGAAGCAAATGAGCTTATTTATTGTAATTCTCTTATAAAAGAAGTGGACTAGGGGCTGGGATGTAGTTCAGTGGTACAGTGTTTGTCTAGCATGCGTAAGGCCTTGACTTTGATCCCCAGAGCCACCAAAAAAGGGGTGGGAGGTGGACTTTTGCAAAAATTTTATAAGTAAAACTACTTGCATTTGTAAACCTAATCAATAGCTTTTAGATATTTTGTTTAATCCTTAGACTAGCCTTGTGAAATGCACAGGTCAGGTAATATTATCCCCATACAATACATGAGGGACTAAATCTCAAAGATAAAATAGCTCCTCTAAAGTCACACAAATGATTAAGGGCCGAGCAGAGAAACCTAGCTTTCCAAATTATAATTAATTGCTTCTTCCACTACACCACTTGGCAAGGAATTTGCATGCAATCCTAGAGAACTCAAGTGGCAAAAGACTTGGATATTGGGGGATTAGCCAAATCATTTTCTTCACTTTCAGTGAATAATGGTCCTTCAAGGATTTCAAAGGAAAGAATGTTTGCTTCTTTCTCAGTTGAAAAATAGGGCTGACTTTCAAACCAGTTTGAGAATAAAAACCACTGGAGAAATATGAACCTAGACATTCCATCTCACTCCTACTCAAAACCACTGTCCATTGGTATGTAGAAGGGAAAAAAGAATAAAATTCAGGCTCCAACAATACGCTCTGCATCCAAGGCTTCCAAATCAAAATAATGTTTCATTTCATTCATTCACAGTATTTCTGAATACCTCCTGTGTTCAAAGCTCTGTGCTAAAGTCTGGCTAGAAAGTGGTTAATATTTGGTCCTTGTGAAAAGCTCTATTGGGAAAAATAGCCATTAAGCAACTATGCACATAAATTAACATTGCAAACAGTGCTAAACTCCATAGGAGAAAAGAATGGACTAAAAGGAAAGAACTAATCCAGATTACTATGGGTAGATTATCTAAAGTCTTGAGGAAGCAATATTTGAACTGAAGCATTAAGGGTACACAGGGGTCAGTCAAGAGTAGAGGGAGTTTCAGGCAAAGGGGACAGTATATGCAAAGGCTTAGGTCACAAAACATTTCTGGCATATAAGAAAACCAGTTAGTTTGACTGGAATATGGAAAGCAGAGGGGTAGTGTTATTAGATGATATTGGGGGAGAAGTTGGGAACCAGGTCTTATGCCTATTGAATCAGGCAACCATTGAAATGTTTTAAACTGCAAAGTGAAATAGTGTGATGGATGTTTTCAAAAGAGTACCATGGTTGCTGTCTGAAGAACGGTTAGAAGAGGGAGAAAAAGAAAAAGTAAGAAAACTGATCCAAATGAGGGATAATGGTGAATTAGACTGAGTATTAGCAGTGGAGATAGAAAAGCCTGGATTTAAAAAAAATAGACAAAACAAAAAGTTGCTTCATTGAAAAAATAAATAAAATAGATAAACCCCTAGTCAGGCTAAAGAAGGAAAAAAGAAAGAAAACTCAAATTACTAAAATATGTGATGAAAAGGAAAAAAAATCACAACAGACATGATTAAAATGCAGAAGGTGATTAGAAACTATTTTGAACATTTATACTCCAATAAAATAGAAAATATCTGTAAGGAAAATAAAAAAAGAGACACAGAGACAAGATGCAGAGGCAGGAAAGATGGCTGCTTAGAAATTTTCTTAGCCACCAAGTATGCCACAGTCATGAAGCTATCAGAGATCCCAATCCCAAACACAGAATCCATTCCGAAGACAGCAACAAATTTCTAGAAACATATGACCTACCCAAACTGAATCATGAAGTCATACATGATTCAAACAGATCAATTTCAAGTAATGAAATAGAAAATGTCATCAAAAGCCTGCCAGTCAAGGGGGCTCGAGTGATGGCTCAGTGATGGAGTACTTGCCTAGCATGTGTGAGGCACTGGGTTTGATTCTCAGCACCACATATAAATAAATAAAATAAAGGTCCATTGACAACTAAAAAAATATTTTTAAAAAAATGCCTACCAATCAAGAAAAATCCAGGAGCAGATAGATTCTCAGGTGAGTTCTACAACACTTTCAAAGAAGAATTAATACCAATACTCCTCAAAGTATTCCATGGAATAGAAAACAATGGAACCCTTCCAAACTCATTTTATAAGGCTAATATCACCCTGACATCAAAATCAGACAAAGACTCATCAAGGAAAGAAAACTTCAGACCAATATCCCTGATGCACATAGTTGCAAAAATTCTCAATAAAATTCTGGCAGATCACATAAAAAACATGTTAAAAAAAAGTGCACCATGATCAACTGAGTTTCATCCCAAGGATGCAGGGTGGGTTCAACATATGGAAATCAATAAATGTAATTCATCATATTAATAAACTTAAAAACAAGAATCTATATGATCATCTCAATAGATGCAGAAAAAATATTTGAAAAATACAGCACCCCTTCATATTCAAAACACTAGAAAAACTAGGAACACACCTCAATATGGTGAAAACCATATTTGCTAAACCCAAGACCAGCACAATTCTAATTGAAGAAAAACTGAAAGCCTTCCCCCTAAAAACTGGGTGCTCTTTTTCACCAATTTTTATTCAACATCCTCCTTGAAACTCTAGCCAGAGCAATTAGACAGAAGAAAGAAATTCAAGGTATACAGATAGGTAAAGAAGAACTCAAACTATCACTATTTGCCAATGACATGATTCTTTATTTAGAAGAGTCAAAAAATTCCACTACAAAACTTCTAATAAATGAATTCAGCAAAGTAGCAGGATATAAAACCAACATCCATAAATCAAATGCATCATATACATCAGTGCTGAATCCACTGAAAGCTAGGAAAACTATCTCATTTACAAGAGCCTCAAAAAAATCTTTGGGAATCAATCTAACAAAAGAGGTGAAAGACCTCTACCATGAAAACTACAGAACACTAAAGAAAAAAGTTAAAGAAGACCTTAGAAGATGGAAAGACCTCCTATGCTCCTGGATAGGCAGAATTAATATTGTCAAAATGGCCATTTATTGCAATTCCTATTAAAATACCAATGACTTTCTTCCTAGAACCAGAAAAAGCAATCATGAAATTCATTTGGAAAAATATAAGAGACCCAGAATAGCCAAAGCAATCCTTAGCAAGAAAAGTGAAGCAGGAGGCAGAGGCATCACAATACCACACCTTAAACTGTACTATAGAGCTATAGTAACAAAATGACATTGGCACAAAAACAGACATATATACCAATGGGACAGAATAGAAGAGACAAACCTATGCAAATACAGTTATTTCATACTAGACAAAGGTGCCAAAAACATTCACTGGAGAAAAGAGAGCCTATTCAACAAATAGTGCTGGGAAAAATCGCTGCATGAAAACCCACTTCAAAGTGGATCAAAGAATTAGCCATTAGAACAGAGATCCTGCTACTACTAGAAAAAAGAAGGTTCAAATCTTCTCCATGTCAGCCTAGGATCTGAATTCCTTAGTGAGACCTCTAAAGCATAAAAAGTAAAATCAAGAATCAGTAAATGGGATGGATTCAAATTAAAAAGCTTCTTCTCAGCAAAAGAAACAATAATGTGAAAAGAGAGCCTACAGATTGGAAGAAAATCTTTACCACATGCACCTCAGATAAAGCATTAATCTCTGGGATATAAATAGAACTCAAAATCACCAAAAAAACAAGTAACCCAATCAATAAATGGGCTAAGGAACTGAACAGACACTTCACAGAATAAATATAATCCATCAAAAAGTATACGAAAAAATGTTCAACATCTCTAGTAACTAGAAAAATGTAAATCAAAACCACTCTAAGATTCCATCTCACTCCAGTCATAATGGCAATCATCAAGAATACAGTCAACAATAAGTGTTAGTAAGGATGTGGGAGAAAAGGTACACATTGCTGGTGGACTGCAAATTGGTACAACCACTATGGAAAGCCGTATGGAGATTCCTTAGAAAACTTAGAATGAAACCACCATTTGACCCAGCTATCCAACTCCTCGATTTATACCCAAAGGACTTTAAATCAGCATACTACAGTGATGCAGCCACCTCGATGTTCATATCAGCTCAATTCATAATAGCTAAACTATGAAACCAACCTAGGTGCCCTTCAATAGATGAACAGATAAAGAAAACGTGATATATATAAATATAGATATCTATCTATCTATCTATATATATATATATATTCCAATGGAATATTACTCATCTTTAAAGAAAAATGAAATTATGGCAATTGCCAGTAAATGCATGGAGTTGGAGAATATCATGCTTAGATAAATAAGCTAATCTCAAAAAACTACTGGCCAAATGATATGTAGATGCTAATTCACAATAAGGGGTGGGGGGGTGCTAGGGAAGATATGAGTTACATTAGACTAGGTAGAGGGGAGTGAAGTGAGCCCAGAGGATATGGGGATAGGAAGGTTTCAGATGAATGAAACAGACACTATTACCTTATGTACATATACGACTGCATGACCAATGTGATTCTACAACATGTACAATCAGAAAAATGAGAAATTATACCCCATTTATGTATGATATATTGAAGAGTATAAATGCATTCTACTTTCATGTATAACTAATTAAAACAAATTTTAGAAATTTATAAAGTAAAAAAAATGAAATAAAATAAAAGCTAGTATTAGAGATATATTTAGAATTTAGAATCAAAATAAGTTTGTGATTAACTAAAAGTTGTGGGGGTGAAAACAATGACATCAGGAATGACTAACAAGGTTTAGCTAAGTAGATAAATCTTCTAATTATTGATATGAGGAAGCTGAGAGAAGGAGTCAATTTAACTGGAAAGTAGGGAGATACAGAAAACAAGAGTTCACTCTTAAATATCTGAAGTTTGATGTACATAGAATACATTAAATACATTCAAGTGGAGTCTGTAAAGTAAGTAGTTAGATAATGGTTCTAGAGCTCAGAAGGGAAGTTTGCTCTTTGAAGAGAATAACTGACATTTACATAAAACAAAACAATAGGAATGAATATTAAATATCTGTATCTACATATTCAAATTGACAGTGGAGTTAAGGGGTTTAGAAACATAGAGTAAGAGCAAGAGATAAATCAAAGAGAGACTCAGGCAAAGTTATAGAGAAGAGAGGGAGGTGAACCAATAAAGATAACATTTATGAAAAGTGAATGTTATTGATGTCCTTGGAAGAATTGTATTTTTTTTCTTTCCTACAAGTCTTGATTTCCCCTCAATTCAGACAAAAACACAAGAATAATCACTGTATTCCATTAAGAAACTAGTAGCATGGTGGGCACTATCATTACCTGATTCCACATCAAGGGAATATTTATCAATAGCCAAGTTCATGGTTTGGTAGGCAGTGGTGCAGAAGTCTTCGAGAATCATGTACACAGCATTGTTGACATTAGGAGGAACAGAATCGGCAAACTTCATTCGGCTGTTCACCACAATACTGCCATTTCTGAAGTTCAGGATTTCTAAGTTCTGGAACCCTGTGAGATTTGACTGGAGGTAGGGAACCAGCTACAATATACAAAAAGTGATAAATTTATCAACACAGCTTTGCATTTTTAAAAATACATAACAAAAGACAAAAACAACAAAGATGAGCCCCTCTCCTTCTTTTTTCCTAATTGTATTCTACCTGCATGTGAACTATTAATGAACAAAGCTATAAGTTAGGAATTATTTGAGAGTCTAAACTAAGAATGTCATGAGATTTTCACAATGATATTTGGGAACGTCATGGAATTCATAAACAGCTTTAGACATCCAGGAAGTTTATTTTCTTTGTTTCACTAAAGTTGGGCATAGATGCCCACAAAACACTGATATCACAGTAAGATTTTTTCTCATGTTATTTCAGGCCTAGAAGTCAAGGAATACAATCTTCAGTATCTAAATTCTCTAGCCTATCACATCACTCTCATGGCACATTTGTGTTTTCCATCTCTTGAATGCATCTGTGTTATTCTTCTATCAACCCTAGGCCATGATGCTCTCTGTGGGTGACAGAAAATGAATGAACACAGCAGATCCCACTTTCCTGGGCTTAGACATGGGTCTAAGACATGGGGTGTCAAGGGTTGGAGAGAGTCACCATGATTGTTCACTAATGCCCATGTTTCACTTTTTGAACTTACCAATTCTAAGAATCTTTGCTCCAGCGCTTTATACTCCAAAGAGTTTTTATTAAACAGATCCTCTGAAAACATCATGTTAGTCACTCGGAGGCTGAAGAAAACCACCAAAGCTCCAGCAGTTGGGGTGTGACTCAAGTCATCGCCTTTTGTGGGCTGAGCCACAATAGCCATCTCTGTGGAGTTAATATTTGTAGACATTTCCACATAACCACTGACCTTGCCATTTTGCTCTTGGATTAGTTCAGGTTGATAGTAATCTGTGCCTACACGATCCAGTTCTAATGAAATGTCCTGTACGCCCATAATTACTTCATCCTCCAGCAGGGTGGGGCTTGTGGTTGGAGGAAATTTGGCGGACTGTGTCATGGAAGCTTTTAACCAGAATGTGTCAGGACTCTGTGGTGTACTTGCCAATGTGTCTCTGGACAATTTTTCTAGGGAAGATGTTCTTGCTCCATTTGTATTTGATTCTGGCAATACGGTCCACACAGGCTGTATATCTGGTTTTACCACTGAACTCTTGCTGTCAAACTGCTCAGGGCTAGATAAATCTGTAGTTTGCTCTATATTCTCTTTCAGGAAGGCATTTATGTGATCAGTAGAAGCAGAAATTGCTACAGATGCTTTTGTAACTGAATTATAATCAATGTCAGGTACCTCTGATGTGTGCTTGGGAAAATTCAGAGATGCAGATTGAGTTGCAGACTCTGCAAAAATTCGCACAGTAGGTCCACCAAGGGGCTCTTCCTCTGCAAAGTTTGTGGATCCATCCTCAGGCCTATGTTTTGAATGCTCAATAATTTGGTAGGTGGAATCCATTTTGTCATTCATAACTAGTTTCTCATCTATACCTTCGGTTGGCAAAAGTGAATTTTCATCTTCAAGCCATGACTTGGACAGTGGTTCAGTGTTCTTCTCCAATAAAGACTCATTCCATGGCCAAGTAATCAGATCCACCCTTTGCCCAGATCCTGAACCTAAACCACTCTCAAATATGAACTCTTTTTCCATGGATGTATCTGGAAATGAAGGGCTCACTTCTAATTGATCTTTGACTTCAGAATCCAAGGAGTTCAAGCCAAAAGGTGTTTCTTGATCAAGATCTAAAGTAACAGAAGATGTCAGATATGGTGAGGATGTCAAGGACACACCAGAGTCTTCTATGGATGGTATTGTTTCTTTTGGCACATGTTGAGTGAATGAACTTGAAGGCAATGGATCAATAGAAAGAATATCTTGTGATTCTTCAACATTGGCTAAAAATAAAGTTTTCCATTCATTAATCTACAAAGTTGCAAAAATATATTCATGGTTCTTTGCTGTTTTTCTAGTTAAGCTAGCAGGTCTATAGCTAACTTTTAAATCTAGCAAATAAGAAGATACAGTAATTGGTTGTAATGTGGGGCAATCACTCATGAATATATCCTACTTCTCTAAGGATAAGATTGACTATTAAAATAATTAATCTTCAAACACTTGACTTTTTCCCATGAAAATAAAGAACTGCTAGTAGACATATTTTCAACAAAAACCAAATTCTCTAGTAACTTAGGGAGAAATTTTCTTGGAAATTGGGTTTCTCTTTGAATTCCCATTTTCTTTGTTAAAATATTTACCATCTGACTCACCTTGTGTTCAGATTCTTGCACTCATTATTTATATCTTTGTTCACATACCTCTTTCACCTAGGTATATACCAACCCTAAGCAACATTGATATTTTCTTTTCTCCACAATATCCAGAAGATCATTTTTATTTCTTTTTATCTCCTCAAATATTGCTCTAAGCTACTAAAATCTTTAGACTAGAATCCTATATTAATCCTATTAGAAGCTACTAGAATAATCTTCTTGGATGCTTCTTTTTACCACTTTAATATTCAAGCAAGCAAAGTAATTCTTTAATAGTAGTGGTAACAGTAACTTAGTTAAATTATATAGTTTTCAATATGAGCTTTAACATATCTACTAAGTGATTTCTACCCTACCTTTTCAAGTTCATTTTTTATTATTTACAGATGTGGACTCCCATCTAACCAATAAAATCTGTTTCCTCTCTAACACAGGTTTCCTAAGACATTTTCTCCTAAATGAATGCTACTATGCTTTTCTTTTCACCACAGTCTCTTCCTTTCTTCAAAACCCTTGCCATCTGACACATAAGGAAACACGAAGAAACAGGAAGTACTGGGGGAATGAAATTGATCAAATTATTTTGTGTGCATGTATGAATATATAAAACAAATCCCACTAACATGTAATTGTAAACACCAATACAAACTTTTAAAAATAGATAAAATTTTTAAAAAGAAGCATGAAAAGTGATTAAAAGTCCTTACCATCTTCTAATAAGTGGGATCCAGATGTCCTCTCCTCAGAAGCCACAGACAAGCCAATGTGAAGTGCTGCTGGGGTGACAGAATGAAGAGTCAAGCTATTAACCTCTAACACTTCCGGGGAAGAACCACGGACTGCCTTCGAGGGAACGGCTAATTTAGGTGTAGACACTAAATCGCCCAAAGGACTTTCTGACCAGAATTCCCTTCCAGTGGCTGAGGGAGGACCGGAATTGAAATCAAGTGGTGAAGCATTGATGAGGATAGATTCATCTGCTGAGGGCCATTCAGCTTGAAGGGTATTGTCCTGGGGGGAGAAAAAGGCTATATCACATCATACATAAAACACACACATAAAAATAATTTTAAAGACCACCAATCTATCCAGATTCCTGGATTTTCTAGGAAAAAGGAGGCAGCATAAAATTAGAGGGTAGAGAGATAAGGGCTCCAGAATAAAACACCTGATATCAAATCCCAATTCGGCCACTTACGGGTTGGAGAACCTAGAGAAAAACTATGTAACCGCTCAAAACTCACCTGTAAAAGGGACACAAATGAGAGCATCTATTTAAAAAAACCTACATAGTGAATTTGTGGGAGAAAATACTATTTCTTTTGCTTTTAATAGTTCTTTTCTCCCCATGTTTTTAGCTTAAATGTCTTTAATTCATAGAAATTACTAATCTATAATTTGTCAGCAAAGACCTAAGCCCATTGCTCACAGTGGGAAGAAGCAATTAGCAATTTCATTCATTATTCTGAAAGACAATTAAGATCCTTCATTTTTATCAGAAAAGTCACCACATTAAAGTGTGATCTATCTCAAATAAACAGCCAGGCCCATGAAATGGCATCACACCTACAAAATAACAAATTTCTCTTTCTAGTGACTTTTTAACTAATGTGGAATTGATTTCCTCTAAACATTTAGCTTCAAGAGTAGAATTAAACAGAAATACAACCCTTGACCATGTAAATATTTAATCTTATGAAGGGAAGTCTACATTAAAAAGTATCATGATGATGTTAAAGCAAAACAGACATGGCATTTGTGGGAACTGATATATTTTAATCTACAGTGGCATTAACACTGGAGTCTAATGTTGAAGTAAATGAACTGTATTAGAGAGAAGTGTACTGTATTGTAAAGAAAGAGGAAGCTGAAAGCCATCCTCAAATGACTAGATGCAACTACAAATGAGCTATAAAGAAAGATTACAGGATAATAAATTCCCTCTTCAGGAATCCTTCATTTGAAGTGAACCTGAGGATAGTAAGACTTGGTTCCCAAGTCAGACAAATAGGTGGGATCTAATCCAGGAGGGTTATGGTTTGGATATGAGGTATCTCCCAAAAGCTCTCATGTGAGACAATGCAAGAAGGTGTAGAGAAGAAATGATTGGGTTATAGCCTTAACCCAATCAGTTAATTAATCTGATGATAGGGATTAACTGAGTGATAACTAAAGTAGTAGGGTGTAGCTGGAAAAGGCAGAAATTGGGGGTGTGGCTTTGAGGTATATATTTTGTATCTAGCGGATAAAGTTTCTCTCTCTGCTCTCTGATCATTATATGAACTGCTTCCCTCCTCCACACTCTTCCACCATGATGTCCTGCCTCACCTTGAGCCCCGAGGAGTGGAGCCTACTATCTACAGACTGAGACCTCTGAAACTGTGTCCTCAAATAAACCTGTCCTCCTCTACGTTGTTCTGGTTGGGTCCTTTTAGTCACAGCAGTGAAAAAGTGACTAAAATGAGGAAACCACTTCCAGCATTTACCTAGTAAATTTTAGTATATTAAGAATAGAGTATATTATCATCTGGAGGAGAATTCACCTTAAATAACTGCACACAGTGGAGGCAGCTTGCAAATCACTGGCCTGGATGTAGTGCTCTTACATAACTTGGCACCAAATAGACACACAGAGTTGCCTCATATTTTTGTCTATCAGATCTAAATTATCCTCTGTCCTTAAGAATAGACCTGATGGAGAGAGAAGAGTTCAATTTCAGATAAATATAAGATACAGTCTAGAATGTGAGAGAGAAAAAAAATTAAGTGAAAATAGCAACTTGTCTTTTCCAAAGGCTCAGGTGTTTTACCAGGCCATTCTATGGATTATAAAAATCTTATGTGGGAGGAAGGGCTGAGAATGCACAAGTGTGAGCAAAACAAAGGTCAATAAATTTTTAGAATTAGACTCTTAGGAATCATATAGTCCTATCATGTCTATTAAAGATAAAGAATTGTGGTTCATGGAGGTGAAATGCCCAATGTTGCCCAAAAATGCAAAAAAAATCAGAACTAGAAGCTGAGCATCTGGATTTTCCTGTGATTTCCCCACTACCACAGGCTATTCATTCAGAGGTATCTTTGAGTGCATATATCCAGATGGTGAAAGGATTCCCAAAGGAGAAACCAGAACAGACTTGGCTAATCAGGCATTTAGGCTTATCATTTCCAAGACCCAGGTGAACACAGAAGTGAGGGAGACAGAAAGGACATTTTCTAATGTTTAAACATCTGCTCTATGGAATAGGTTGGCTATTTTTATATAAAGAGAAGTTCCTTTCTTCTTTCCCTACCAACTATTTCTAGGTTCAAAAATTATATATATATATATATTTCTGGGGGAAAGTAAGAAAGCCATTTGCTCAATACCAAGTTCTTTTCTTCAGAAAAGTAGCTAGGGTGATGATGATGTCACCACATCAGGGAATTCACTTTTGTCCTCTTTTCTAAAAGTACCTCTAGATATGTGTCAAAGCAACTCATGCTTCCATCCAGGTCAGGAAGATTCACATTCTTGAAAATTCCAAATATGCTTTTAAAAAATTTTCAAATGAGATATCATAAGCCATTTAGCCCATGTTTCAGGAATTGAGTTCCATCAGTCAGGGCCTGATGCTTAGTAGAAAAGCAGCTGAATTCTCAATAAAAAGAAGTCCTCAAAGCAGAGTATTTTAGCATCTCTAAGTAGCCATGTCTACTTCATAGCTATGGAAACTTGGGCAAGACCCTGAACCTTGTAATACATAATTTTTATAAAAAATAAATGCTTTTTAATTTTATAAAAAGTAAAAGTAGAACAATATCTTTAATAAGACTCAAGTTACCAACAGGTAACATGAAGTATAAAAGTAAGCAGTAGGACTTTTCAAATAAGGAAGGAAGATCATCTATTCCAAATAAATACTACTTTTAAAAAACTGCATGGGAGGGGCTGGGGATGTGGCTCAAGCTGTAGTGTGCTCGCCTGGCATGCGTGCGGCCCGGGTTCAATCCTTAGCATCATGTACAAACAAAGATGTTGTGTCTGCTGAAAACTAAAAACTAAACATTAAAATTTTTTAAAAAACTGCATGGAAGCTGGGCATAGTGCCCCATGCCTGTAATCCTAGCAGATCTGGAGGCTGAAACAGGAGGATCATGAGTTCAAAGCCTCAGCAACTTAGTGAGACACTAAGCAACTCAATGAGACCTTGTCATTAAATAAAATACGAAATAAGGCTGGGGTTGTGGCTCAGTGGTTGAGTGCCGCTGAGTTCAATTCCCAGTACCAAAAAAAAAAAAAAAAAAAAAAAAACCAACTGCATGGGGGCTTGGGCTATATAGCTCAGTAGCAGAGCACTTGCCTAGCACATGGGAGGCACTAGGTTCGATCCTCAATATCACATAAAAATAAACAAAATAAAGGCATGCTGTCTATTTACAACTACAATTTTTAAAAAAAACTGCTTGGTAATGAAACTTTCTTATACATTTTCAAAGGTGAATATTATACATGCCAGGAATAGCAGCACTTCATTTATTTTTATATCGATAGATGTTCCCATAGTAACAAATTCAATTTATGAATTCTTTTTTAAATTCAATGTAGTATACTGACAAGTTTAATATTATATTGGCCAGTTTCACATCTGCTAATGCCAGCTAAAAAGCTTGCTACTACTACAGAAAGCATACTTATTGTACAACAAATGAAGATTTTCACAGTGGGATGCCAGAAAACTGCCAAATTCAATCATGCAATATCCCTAACTCTAAAATAATTCTTAAAAATCCAATTTATTTTTTAAAAACTCACTTCTGTAATATAGTAAAAATCTTGCTAAAATAAGAGGAAAGGATGGATGGAAGGAAGGAAGGAAGAAAGGAAGGAAAGAAGGAAGGAAGGAAGGGAGGGAGGGAGGGAGGGGGGAGGGAAGGGGGAGGGAGGGAGAGAGCGGGGAGGGAGGGAAGACAGACCAGACATTTCTAATTCACAATTGTTTATATCTTATTATCACTCATTAACATTCTAATGGCTCAAATTCTTCATGTTCTCACTCAAATGTGGAAGCTAAACAAGTTGATCTCATAGATACAGAGAGCACAATAATAGTTACCAGAGGTTGGGAAAGGACCGGGGGCAATAGTTAGGGGGAGAGAGGCTGATTAACAGGATCCAAGTTAAAGTCAGTTAAAGGGAACTATCTAGTCTTCTGTAGCACAGAGGTGTGATGATAGTTAACAATATGGTATACTTCAAAATACTTAGAAGACAGATATGAATATTTCTAACACAAAGTAATGAAAAATCTTGAGGTGATGATATAATTCATTCCCATTTGATCACATTGCATACATATATAAAAATATCACACTGTACCCCATAACTATGTGTAATCATTACATATCAATAAAAAAATTTTAAATATTCCAATGTCTCCTAAATTGTTAATGAATGCTCTGCAGTTATCACTGTTCATTAAAGTAAGGATTTGGCTTAAATGAAAAGGGAACCAAATGAATTACAGTAGATGGGGTAGAGAGAGAAGATGAGAGGGGAGGGGAGGGGGGATAGTAGAGGATAGGAAAGGCAGCAGAATACAACAGTCACTAATATGGCATTATGTAAAACAGTGGATGTATAACCGATGTGATTCTACAATCTGTATACGGGGTAAAAATGGGAGTTCATAACCCACTTGAATCAAAGTGTGAAATATGATATGTCAAGAACTATGTAATGTTTTGAACAACCAACAATAAAATTTGTTTAAAAAGGGAACCACAGCAACATAAATGAGCAACAAGCCCAGTTAGTCACTGCTTGCCATCATTAAAGTAGCAGCCATTTCTGACACAAAGAAAAGTGAATTTAATAACATCAGATCTTCTTGGTTTTCAAAAGAAGCTGGAAATCTGTATTTTCATGTAAAAATCTAATTTTTAGTTGTTGGTTTATTTTTAAAACTTCATTGCAAAATGCATGTCTACAGCTAGATGTAGCCAGCTGGTCTCCAGTTAGCAACTTCTGCCTGCTATAGGAATCCTGTCTGGACACCATGATTCCAAAATATCATCACAGACATGTGGTTACAGAAGTCCCAGGTTGAACGTGATTAGAAGGAGCTAAAACAAGTGGTGCCCTCATCTCTCTCTGCCATTGCACTCGGATGGACATCCAGGATAGCATCTGCATCGACTTGTTTGTTTAGAAGTCTGTCTACTACCAGACTGGAAAATTCTGGGAGGCAGGGCCACACCTTATTCATCTAAGTTTCCCCAGCACCTGACACATTAAAAGTACAAAATAAATATATTTGAATGAATGAATAAACAAACACCAAATGAATGTACACTCTGATGTCAATATCCCCATCCTTTTTTTCTCCAAAATGGAACTCTGTGAAAAGGTTCTTTCCAGAGATTCCATATTTCAAAATTGAGTTATTCTATTGCTAAGTAGAAGATTTGTCTACATAGATCAATGATCAAATGAATTGGGGGCAGATTTTCCAAATTTCCATTGCTGGCTTAATGACAAGAAACAAGTATTTCATACAGCTGACACGAGACAAAAAGAAGTCTTAAGAAAGTAGAAGAAGTGGGGAGCATAGATGAGGAGTCCCCCTCTGGTATCTGTGATAGTAAGTGATCCCTGTAGTCATTATAGATAGGTAGGGCACTGCCATTGTGGCTGCACTGTGAATATTTTAACTGCACTCAAGGATGTTATTTTCTTTTCTACTGGATGCTTCCCTGTAAGTGAAGTGGAAATTAGAGATGTAGAGATGGAAGAGGAATTCCTCCTGGAGTTGGTAGTAAGAACAGAAAGTAAAATTCATTCCACGCTGTTGATGTGCAAATGGAAGTGTTTTCAATCCAGTTGAAAAGGAGACCTGATTTATAGTTCCTGTTATTTGTCAGCTAGTTGATATTTTTACTCTTCCTTCTTTCCCTTCCACACACACTCACACACTATTCTATATGCTTTGGTGTCCAAACTTTCTTCAATACAATCCTTGAAATTAAAGTCTATATTCTGAACTTGTACATCAATTTATACTCTTATCTATAAAAACTATGTCTGGATAACTTTGAAAACAACTCACTGGACACATATAGCTTAATTATCACCAAACAAGTATGAACCATAAATATTAAGTTTTCTACCATGTGTCGAGTTTGGCAATGTAAGACTTCATTTAACTACCATGGAAAGCTTAAATTTTCTGAACCAACACTTAGTACCCATGAGCTGACAATTCTGAGTAATGTTCCAGGGATGATGCAAGAGAATATTTGCAATGGGAACAGCTTGAGAAGCTCATGATGCCAAAGTAAGCAGGTGAGGACACAAAGGAGAAAAACCGGGTCTAAGCAAGACATAGAAACATACCAGAATAGATGGAGGTGTTGTCTGAAGACTTGAACTTTGGGTGTCCCAAACTAGATCTTCAGTTTGGGGAAGCAAAACTCCTCTCACTGAGAAAAGAACAATAGTAAACAGCATTTAATTGTGACACTATTTTATTTGAAGTGCAGCAACAACTAAAAACCAAGTTCTTCCTCCTTATAGTTTAGATTTTAGCAGAACAGATGAGGTAGACTCACAAAATGTTTGCAACATTGTTTAGGTATTTTACTTATATTAGCATAATCTATCTGAATTATAAGAATCTAACATAAAACAAAGATCCTTCCCATTATTATATTTAGGACCCTCATATTATTTCCTTTTCTTCCTCATGACAGCTTTCACTCTTTTTCCAGATTCCTAAGAAACAGTTATTTTCAAGCTGATTTTTTTTTCATTTTAAGAAAACTAAACCAACATTTTAATTCATTAGAACAATGTAAGAATGGTAGAAAAAGTATGAAAAATATTCCCTTTTTGCCAGAAAGAGACTTTGAAAAATGGTCTTCAAAACCAAAAAGGTTTATTATGTAATAATAATAAAGGGTAATAAAAAAGAGTAGATTGTATAATTTATTTCAACAAAGATTTACTGAATCTTTGCTAGTTACCATAGACTTTGCCAAAGTTAAAGCTATAAATATTAATAAAACTGAGTTTCTCTTTTGGAAGCACTGTTATAGAGAAAAAATACAAACTGGAAATTATAAAGCAATATATATATGAACATGGACAAAGAAGTAATTGGGCTTTTTGTCTGAAGGAGAATAGGAATCATAAAAGCTAAAAAGTGGTGATTATAAGGAGGAAGATTTAGTGTATGCTGCTAAAATAGGAGCAGGGTCTCTTTATTCACCTGTACCCACTGGCCAGCCATAGAGGGATCAAGCAGAAACAAAAATTCTATTTGGCTTACATATTTTCCAAAATTCTTTTCAAATGTATATATAATTTTCCCATCTTCTATGAGAAATAGAAGATCGAGGATGATCACATTCAAGTTTCCTAGAAAGTATAGAACTCTGAAATTGGTATAACAATAGAAATGTATTCTAGGAACAAAATTTTGAGTAATTAAAACCTACATCTAATGAAAGATCAAGACACTCGAATAAGTTGGTACTGAATATCTTAAACATTTGTTGAACTTTCTTCCAAATTTTAAGAGAGTTGATGACTCTTTTTAGGACACCTTTTAGGAGGTAGTTCTACTTCCAGGCTCCACATAAAAGGAAGATCTTACAATGTTGTTTGTAGATTTAGCTTTCTAGTCAACCACTTTGCCTACTGCATCCATTAATCCTCATGGCATACTCCTACCTCCTGGTTGCTGACCTTGGTATTTGCACTTATCTGCTCAGTTTAGGTTTCAATCCCTCTGACGTCTTTACTTCATAAGTATCTTTTCTCTGTTTCAACCCCATATCCACATTCCTGAAGTCTTCGCCCATATGCTATCCCCTTGGTTAGCCCCCAGTTTCAGATTACAAGTTTCTTTTCTATTTGATATTTCATATGACCCAAATATTCCAACAAGATTTAACAAAGAAAAAGGAGTTTATGAAAAAGGGAGCCCAGAGTACCCACCCTGCTCCAAAATACAAATACTCTCTAATGTTTTAGAACTAATAACTTTATGTCACTATCACCCACTGAAGAGAAAGGTTTCTCCATCTTAAGGCTCTAAGTCCTTCATTAAAAGGACTTCCTCAGCACAGTGTGTCAAATTAAAAAAAAAAAAAAAAAAAACAACATTAGTCTGGCAGCCAAAATAGTTGTAAAGCAACTTGAAGTTTTAGTCAAGCCGAGTAACTTTCTAAAAATCTTACTTGGGTACTAAGGGATCATATCACATATCACACACAGTAAATCAATGTGTTTGTCTCTGTCTCTTTCTCTCTCTCTCTCAAACACACACACACACACAAACACACACACACCACACCTTACAGTTTGAATCTGGAATGTCTGCAAAAAGCTCATGTGTTGAAAGTTTGGTTGCCCAATGCAGCAATGTTCAGAGGTGGAGCTTTTGGAAAGTGATGGGATCATGAGGAATCTGATCTCATCAGTGGATTAATTCACTGATGGGCTCATAACTGACTGGACTATTGGGAGGTGGTAAAAACTGTCGGAAGTGGGGCCTCATTCAAGGAAGGAAGGAACTGGGGGCACTGAAAAGGTATCTTTTGTCCCCAGCCTCATCTTCTCTTTGCTTCCCAGCCACCATGAAGTGAGCAGCTCTGTACCACTACACCGTCTGTGCCCTGATGCTATGCCTTGCCACAGACCTAAAGCAATGGAGCTGGCTGACTATGGATCGAAACCTCTGAATCAGTGAGTCAAAATAAATCTGATCTCCTTTAAGTTGTTTTTTCTCAGGTATTTTGTCAAAGCAACAGAAAGCTCACTGATACAGTCACAAATACATTCTTATAAGCTTACACCACACACACACACACACACACACACACACACACACTCACACACACACAAATTAGTACTACCTGGAAAGAAAAGATTTTCCTTTCTCTCTAAATATTTTTTCTTCAAACCCCAATCTTCCAAATCTTGGTTCCCTAATCTATTCTATTCTCCTCTATTAATAACTATTTGTTTTTCCTATATAGTCTCAACAAGACTCTCTGGTTTGTAGTGTCCATTTTTGTCTGTTTATTTACATGCACACACACATACACACACAAAGGCTTAGGTGGTCACTATTTGAAAGATATTAAATAAGCTAAATTTGGCCTATGCAGGCTTCTGAACTCACATACCTGAGTCCTTACATACAGAGCTACAATCTAACTCAGTATACAAACAAAATGAAAACCTAACTCAGGAATTTGTTTTTGTAATGTGTAGCAAAGTGTCATCCAGTCACAGTGACTGAGTTTCCATCAAATTATCAAATAAGGTAAACATTGTTTTTAACCAACCCATCTATCTCTATAGCTCACTTTCATTTGCCATATATCATTTCTCATTTTCTATCTATAAATATTACCCAACCATATGGAAACCCTGGAGTCTTACAAAATTTTACAAAGTCTTCTAGGGGCTATCTTACTAAAAAAAATCACTCTTTGTTTAATTTTAACCTGTTAAATTTAATTTGTCTAAAGTTTTTTCTCTTAAAAAAGAATACAGGTTCATTTCTCTTTAAACTCTGTGGGAGATGGAGAAGCTATAAAAATGCATTATTATTAATATTGCTCTCACACATGGATTTTTATTTTTGGCAGTTGGTATGTGCCCCATCCTGTCACTTCAGTAAACATACTCTGCTGAAGTTTTAAAAGCTAAACTACCAATGAGTGAAGAAATCATGAGAAGCAAACATGAAGTAGCAAGTAGATTAACAGGACTTGTGTCCTGATGAGTTAAGATGTTAAGAACTAGCAGCACAACTCTAAGCAAGTTGTATTCCCAGGTCACCTGGGCCACTTTTAGTCCCCAAATCCCGAACAGTCACCCTCTCCTTGATGATCCTGGATCCACCTGCTCATTATGGATCAGAGCCAGCCCACCATAGCCATCTGAATTCAAACAGAGTATTGAATTCTCTGGACCCAGTTCTTCTTTGACCATGATCGCCCATCAGCTATTCTGAACTGCTTCTCTCATCTACTCTCTGGCTTTTAAGCTTCAACCAGCTGAGTTTCCTCTAGAGAGTTCATCCTTGGTTGCCTTTAACCCACAGTCTGTTTCAATTCATATTTCCAGGTACTACTTTCCTTTTTAAAAAAAAAAATACTTTGCTCTAATCTCTCCAAACTATTTCTAAATGTCTTGCTATTCTCTGCTTTCCCCACTTTGTGACCTTCCTAGCTACAAATATTCCCCCACACCCCCACCAAAATCCTAATTACTCTATCCAAGATTGCAGCATGACTAAAGCTCCATGTGTATCAAGATAGCTCCTGTCTTATGTAGTCTAGGAAGGCTCAGAACCGCATGTAATTAGGGAAATTAGTTTTTTCCAGAGCAAACTAAAATTATATATAAGACTTCATGATGGATATCAAACTCACCATTGATAAGCTGAAGAGAATCAGGATCTGGATTCAAGGAGGAATTCCCCAGCAAAAAATTCTGGTGCAGGGTCTCAGCAATATAATCTCTGAAATTACTAATTGTATAAACAGCAGTGGGCTTATCATTCAGTTCCACAAGGCCATGGTTTTCCACCTTGTTGGAGTGGAGACTGATTAGGTCCCAGGTGGTATTGCTGATGGCCTCACCATTGAAGGTAACTGCATAATGAACGTCTAAACCACTGTGGATGAAAAGAGAACAGATTAGGTCCAACTCAGGAAGGACAAAGAAAGAAGCTTTGAATCCTTAAAGAGCAAACATTAAACCTAAAAGGGAATCTCAAAGATATGAATCCCATCAAAATTCTGACACTGGGCAACATTTTGCCATCCATTCCTTTCCAAAGAATGGAGGTCACAGCTCTAAAAAACAAAGCAAGAGTTCTAATGAAGCCACACAATTAGCTCTGAAGAATTACCTTTATCTTCTCCTTCAAAGCCAACTCGTTTCTCTTCACTACCAGCCTTCTCTCTTCTAGATATCAATAAATTTCTTAAGTCATATGATTTGCCCAGACTGAGTCAGGAGGATACACACAATTTAAACAGACCAATAACAAAGGAGGAAATAGAAGAAGCCATCAAAAGACTACCAACCAAGAAAAGCCCTGGACCGGATGGGTATACAGCAGAGTTTTACAAACCTTCAAAGAAGAATTAATTCCAATACTTTTCAAGTTATTTCAAGAAATAGAAAAAGAAGGAGCTCTTCCAGATTCATTCTATGAGGCCAACATCACCCTGATCCCGAAACCAGACAAAGACATTTCAAAGAAAGAAAACTACAGACCAATATCTCTAATGAACTTAGATGTAAAAATCCTCAATAAAATCCTGGTAAATCGAATACAAAAGCATATCAAGAAAATTGTGCACCATGATCAAGTAGGATTCATCCCTGGGATGCAAGGATGGTTCAATATACGGAAATCAATAAATGTTATTCACCACATCAATAGACTTAATGATAAGAACCACATGATCATCTCAATAGATGCAGAAAAAGCATTCGACAAAGTACAGCATCGCTTTATGTTCAAAACACTAGAAAAACTAGGGATAACAGGAACTTACCTCAACATTGTAAAAGCTATATATGCTAAGCCTCAGGCTAGCATCATTCTAAATGGAGAAAAACTGAAGGCATTCCCTCTAAAATCTGGAACAAGACAGGGATGCCCTCTCTCACATTTCTATTCAATTTAGTTCTCAAAATACTAGCCAGAGCAATTAGACAGACAAAAGAAATTAAAGGTATAAAAATAGGAAAAGAAGATCTTTCCCCATTAGCATTTCTCCTCCCTGATTTCAAAAAGTCTTTCTAAGTCCTCCCAGTAATGGTAAATCATCTTATAAATTTTTATTATGGTTGTTGAAAATTAAGTACTAAACCATAGTTAATTATTGTGCAAGAAAAACTTTAAAACTTTAAATTAAAAAATTAAAACTTGGCAGGAAAGATAACTCCAAAGTTTATGACTTCACTGCCCTTCATGACATTAAACAGCTTTGTGTCTAACTTACATATCCTTTCCCAATTAACTATATAAAGTTTCTGCTTTTCAAATGCTGTAGAAACTCTCTCTTTTTCTTTTGCTGACTCTCATTAATTAATTAAATGAAACCTTAATAAGTGCTAAAAATAACTTGGGAATTATGAAAAAGTGGATAGTAAGAAAGCCTAAGCAAAGAGAATAAAGGAGAGAAAGTAAAACATATGTAATTAAGTAGGAGTTAACATGTTATTTGACATTTTCTTAAATAGTCATTTGGGAGAAATAACACAGAATACAAAATTTTAAAGCAAATAGGAATATTCCTTGACTCTCAGTCAAATTTCTCCTAACTAAAACCTAACATTTTATAAATCTAACAATGTGACAGGCATTTTACATTATTATTTTCATAATAACCTGAAGAAAAAAGGCTTTGCCTTCAGCATATTGTTAAAGAAACAGAGCTTTAAAGAAATTAAAAGACTTTTTTAAAATTCATCATAAAGATGTGGCAAAGTCAGGGTTTAAACAGATCTGTCTGACTCCAGCCCCTGCATTCTGAACTACTATGCTACACTCTCAGTAGCTTTAACAAAACTATTATCAGAAAAAGTCATTCTGAGGACGGCTCTGTGCTAGTCACCACTGTGCCTGTCCAGACTGTCTCTGTACACAGCCATCACACAGTAGCCTGCAAGCCATACAAAGATCCCTCCAGAGGAAAGGAGACCAGTACCTTCCAGAGGTAAGCAATGCCAAACAGATGTGCAACGGAAGCCATCTGCTATTTCAGACATTTCATGGCAGCAAAATGACTCTCAAAGTATAAGAATAAATTAAATGTATCTTTCTCTTAACTTATTTATATATTCATATATATCCTTGATTATAGTCTTCATTGTTTTGTAAAAAGATTTTGTTACAGTGACTATAAAGGGGCCCCTTTGAAATTAAAAACCACAAATTGTTTTTCTTTTTTCCTCTCCCATTTCCTGGTAACCTGAATTTTTTCCATCCCAGCTTCCTGAGAATGGAAACTGAGAAGGTGCCCCCCTGGCCCTGGAGGGTGCCAACAAAATTGGAATTATAACCTATCTCTGGCTAGCACAGTCTAGTTAAATCTTCATGCATACACTTTCTGAATTTTGTTCCTATAAATTGTAACCTCTCTGTAGAAAGGAAAAAGACATCTGTTTTGATCAAACTGTGATTAAATTCATTTTTCCTTTTTATGTCTTTTTCTCTATTTCTGATTTGTGGGCAGGCAACCAAATCCAGTTATTTGGGACTCCAGCAGCCTAGGTAACATGACTACCTTTTTCTTTTTCAGATTATATCCCTAATATTTAGCTTGTTACTAGCAGTGAGAAGCACCACAGTCTACTAGATGAACAGAAATCTATACTTATCTGAAAAAAAAAAGAAAACTTAAGACTATCCAAATTATTTACGTATCTAAAGAAAAAGTATCAGAAAAATGAGGGTGATATCATGGAGAAAAAAAAAGAACTGGTAAATAATTTATGTTACTGTTTAGTGTAAAATTTCTGACCAGAGTACTGAAGCTTCCTTATAAGGTACAACTCTAGATTGTAGACAGATACAACAAACTCTCACAGCTTGAGGAGGCTGGTCTTTAAGATCGTCTAATTTCCTCTTCCTGATCTCAAATTAGCAAAGTGAACTTTCAATTGTAAATCCCTATAAATTTTCCTGTTGAGAGAGAATGCATGAGCCAGTCAATGCTATAACTGGACAGTTGGCAAATGCATGCCTCCTTCTAGATAAGTCAATGGACATCCTAAAGAATTCTGTCTTTTGTGGCTTGGGAAACATGCTTGGTCTTAAGAGACCTTCCTGAGAGTACTGGCTGATTTTGGACTTGCCCAGACCTGCCTAGTGCCAATGACACTCTGGATTACAGGAGTTGCCATGAAGGTGACACCTCACCTGCTATACCAACAATCAAACCTCTTTGATACATTTGTCCCTGTTAGCATATAAAGGCTTTTTTTTTAAGTTGTTTGTTTTAATCAGGGAGGAGAACCACTGAGTTTCTTCAAATCTATTTTCCTTCCAGACCTGAAAAGCTGCCTCTTCTACAGAGGTGGTATAGGGGTTTTAAAAATGGTAGCTGATTCCTCTTGACACTGATACTCTAAGTGCTTAAAAAAAAAAAAAAAAATCTGTTGTACATCTAGAACATCCCTTAATCCTTTTAACAATTAAATCCTTTTAATTTTGCACATTAAAATATGTCGAGCCATGAGTAATTTCTAATCTTTCTTTATAAGGAAAGAAATACAGTAAAATATGCTAAAATAACCAAGGGATTGTTCCAAGGTGGAATCAAATAGTAAGAGAGACATCTACTGGTCAGAACTTACCACACCATACTTCCCATTGCTCTTTATAAGCCTTCAGTCATTCTGATGAACTGGCTGACCACAGGTACCACACATTGCTCTGCCTCTAGATCTTTGCATGTCCTGTTTCCTTCTCTCTGCAATACCTATTATTGCCTCTCATCTCATATATCTTTCACATACACATAGACAAACATACACACACCTTCTTCATCTGGGTATTTCTTTATTTGCCATAGTTCAGATGTCACCTCCCTGGGAAACCTCTTTCTTTTTGTATTAATTTATTTTTTATCCTACTTTATTATATATGACAGCAAAACACATTACAATTCATATTACGCATATAGAGAACAATTTTTCATATCTCTGGTTGCATACAAAGTATATTCACACCATTCTTGTCTTCATACGTGTACTCAGGGTAATGATGTCATCTCATTTCACTGTCTTGTCTACTCCCTTTCTACCACTGAAGATACGAGTCTATGATCCTGTTCTATCTTTCCCATCAACTGTATAGGCACAATAATTATTCATCTCTGTGTCCCAAACGTCTAGAACTTAAGCCTGGCTCAGAGTAGTTCAATAAATACTTTTGAAAAGAAAACAATTGTAAGTTTTATTTGCAAAGACAGGTAGATAATTGAACAGAATTTGTACCACTTAAATGGTATTATGTAATTAATCTGAAGCATTTTCACTCTCTACATATAAAAAGAATAATTTTCACCATACAGAGCATAGATATTACCTTCAGATGTGTGTATCTTATTGGTAGTCATTTTAGAGACATCGTTTTAGGGCCATAGCCCAACTCTGTGAGGATGTACACCCTCTTGCCAAGCTCAACAGGAAAGACCATACCATCATATCCAAAAAGTTGGGCATCTCCTTGGGATGCGTGCATGACCTATTTCATTTATTTGTAGTGTATAACATATCTCAACAACAGAATGAAGTGGTGGAAGAAAAGGGGAAAAAAAGAAGGAAAAAAATAAAGGAAGAAAGAAAGAAGGAAGAAAAGGAGGGGTGGAGGAAGAGAGAACAGAGATGAAGGGAGGAAAAGCTATGCCAATTAGTACTTGAATTGGTTACTGAGTTATGTAGGGCATCAGACCAGGAGAGCCAGGCATTTTATAGAGACTTGCCATGTGCCTTATGTGGATTTTAAATATTACAAGGAAGAAATCAAAAGAAATTCCCCCAAATGTAGAAATCTATGCAAATCGGGCAATCTAGGTTACATTACTAGCCTTATTATTTGCTGGCAAAATATTATTTGCCATCCACTGTTTCTATTGGACATCTCAAAATAATACTTCTATTATAATCAAACTTGTCTATTAATTATAAATTTATTAAAGAAGATAAAATGAAGCCAGGTGTGTTAACACATGCCTATAATCCCAGTGACTCAAAATAAAAAAATAAAAATTGCTTGGGTTGTAGCTCAGTGGTAAAATGACCCTGGATTAAATCCCCAGTGCCACGAAAAAAAAAGATAATATAACTCAGAGAGGTACTGTAATTTATTACCATGTTTTTGTCCTGGAAAGAGAACTCAAAGAAATATTTGAAGTACAAAAGTGTATTCTTAGCTAAGGCCAAGAACTTCACTGTGACCTAGAACAGGCTGAGTTCTGACCCAGTGATAGGGTACAAAGATGTCTCAGGATGAAGGACAGATTAAAAGAAAGCCAAGAGGACAAGGAAGTCCATACATAGAATACATACTGGTAGGTAAACCACTATCTGACTGAAGAAAATTGTGCTGGCTCTATGCCCTCATACATAACTCCAAATTAACCAACAAACACCATACCAGTATGTTTCATCTTCTGAACTGGTCTGAAACAGTTATAAATAGAAAAGAATTTGTGTCTGACAGCTACTTCCAGAGACCTCAGTCACGTGGAGAAGTTCACCCTTTCTTGTTCTCTCATCCCAATGCCCTGATTGCAGATTTTTTTAAAGTAAAAAATAGTGGTATCACATTTCATCAAGATCAACCAAAATAAGGATATTTCAAAGAAACTCAGACATTCCTGGTTCTTCTAAGAAGAAGGCATAAACTTTCAAAGCCGGAACCTGAAGTTATAGTGTCTTTACCATATTTACATTATTGACTTACTTCAAATGGATCCTACTAACAACATAATGAGCAAGTACAAATGCTTAGAGGAGAGAGAGAAAAGGGTATGTGTCCTATAAAGAACATTGTTGTACCACACAGTTATTCATATACAACTCAGATTTAAAGTAAACCAAAAAGTTCCAAGAATTCTATCATAAAATCTAATGGCTTCATATTGAATTGTTGTCTGTGCCCCTATGCAGGGCTACTGGCACTCAACAAATGGATACCATTCTTTTTATCATATGGTTAGCGTCAAGATCTAGGTTTGTTTTAACATTCTAATCACCCCAAGAGGACAGCAATTAAACAATATGGCCTTTGGGCTGAGTGCAGACCTCAGCAGATATACCTATAATACATATACACAGAGCAGTTTGCATACACTGAAAAAACAAATTCTGATTAACTTGGTCAAAATATCTGATATCTCCTAGACATATAACTTAGGGCAACAATTTGCCTTAAGTCAATTTGCCTTACTGAAGTAAAATTTCCTCTGCTCCAAAAAGAAAATATTCATTCTCATTTTTACTAACTCATAGGGATACTGAGATGATAAAATTTAAAAAAATAAGAACTAGCACTTTGACATAAGTCTGAAAGCCCTTTTCATTAGATGGTACATTCCTAGAGAATAGAAACCAAGAGTCACTCATTTTTCTATTCAGTTTCCCAAATTATTAGGCTTCCAAGAAAAAATAAATTTGGAATACAAAGATAAAAATGACAAAAAATCTTCAAAAGGTGTATTAATTGTGCTTTATATTATGCTTCTAAAAAAATTCTGAGATCAGATGTTTTTACAAATGAACTATTATAGGTATCAGTTTCTCACCTTCATTTATGACTTAAAGTACCCTTGACTATATTATTGAGTGACATTTTCATGAATGCAAGTTATTATTCCTATTTGAATTAAGCATAACTCAATATTTAAAGTATTTGGCAGTCATCAGTCTATACAAGGAGTTTATGAACTACATAGTCTGTGAGTGGAATTTAGTCTACTGTTCATAAAAAAAATGGATCTTACATCTTAAATGGTTGAAAATAATTTTTAAAAGAATATTTTGTGAAATTTGAAATTACATGAAGTTTAGATATTATCATATATAAAGTTTCACTGGAACACAACAAGGCTCTTTAGTTTACATTATATTGCCTATGTCTACTTCTACCTCAGAGACTATATGGCCTGTGAAGTCTTATATATTTACCAAGAGTTTACCAACAATTCTATCAGAAAAAGCTTGCCAGCCCCTGATCTATAAGGAGACAGCAGTGAAACTGGAAATGACTAAAGAATTGAGTCATGCTCCCCTGGACCTAGGGCTGACATGTTTTCTAAACTACCTCCTGATTAGAAGGACAACACAGAAAGTGCCAAAAGTATTTTACCTGCCATTGTCCTTAGGGAACCTGAAAATGAAGATGACAAGTGTTAATCAGAGTTCAAGACAGTTGTAATTGTCACATAATTCCTCAAGGTACAAGTTATTTATGTATTTCTTCTGATTTTCTTTGAAATGCCTTCTTAAATGAAAATACTTGTATAGTAGCAGTATCAACAAATTCCTACAGATTGAAGAAAGTGAAAAAAAGTGAAGAAAATATTCTACTTTAAAACCAATAGTTTTTAGTCTTTTAAACTTTGTTTTAAAATAGTTGAAATAATTAATATGTGGTTTATAAATAAACTTTTCAGTAGATCATAGAATTTCTGTTTGGGGCATTAAAATTGGGAATCCTCTTTTTTGGGATGCAATAGTATTATAATAAATGAAAAGAAAATCAAATGTACAGATCTGTACTAAAATAAAACATTCAGAAATTTCAGACCTTACTAAAAAAGATATGATCCTTTAACCCTGGGGGAAAGGGACTCATAAATTGAAATGAACATTTTCTAGAATAACAACAAAAAATAGAGCAATAACTTTAAAACTCTAAAGGAAAATTACTTTCCAACCAGAATTCCATGCCTACTGAAACTATTTACCCCACAGAAGGATCAATTATGGATACTTTCACACATGCACAAAAGCAATGAAATTCTCTTCCCTACATTCTTTAATGCTTCACCAAAATGAGGATGCATATCCAGAAAGAAGTTTATATAGACCATAACAGAGAACAAAGGAATCACAGATCATCTCCTGAAACCCAGGCATGGAGACATTAAAATACAGAATAAATTCTATACAAACTAGTCTCCCCAATAACAGTAAAAGAAGGCAAACACGAATTTGTCTCATGGGATACTCCCAGTTGAGAAATACAGATTAGAGTGACATTTGTGGTTAATAGACTCATTCATGGAATGGTACGACATTAAATTTAAATGACATATGAATGTAAAGAAAGAGAAAACTCAGTTAATCAGGTGCTATACCATAAGGCTCTAAGAGTAGCAAAAGGTCAGACTAACTGATAGGATATTTCCCAGCCCTTAGTATTTATTTTATATAAAATACACAAAAAAATAGAACTTTCCATGTGCCAAAAATATGTTAAGCATTTAGCAAAAATTAATTCACTGGATGCTCATCAGGATTCATTAAGGATTCATTTATATGTTCCACATAAAAACCTAAGGAACAAAGAAACCAAGAATTTGTTCAAAGTATTTCAAAAGCATTTTTTAAGCAAAGCAGAGTTAATAAATTTCTTTTTTTACAAATTAAAAGTTAAGATCTAATAATATACCCAAGCCATCCAGCCAGAAGCACAAAGGCAGGATTCAAAGCCAAGCAAATTCACTCCAAAGGCCCTGTTGCCTTTCACATGCTGCCAAATGAGAGAGGTCTTCAAAGGCTTCACATTCTTAGGTTCCCACTTAAGCTTAGTCACAAGCAAAGGCGGCAATCTGTGAAAACTGCTAAAGTTGAATTGGGAGAACTGGTCTTGGCAGGAGAGTAGGTAGATCAATTTAGCATGCAGGGTCTCTCTTCACTAAGCATGTGCCACTAACTAGCTGAGGGCCATTAAGTAAATTATTTAAATTTCCTGTGCTCTGGTTTTCTTATCAGAAAAAGAAAAAGTAAAGATATATAGACAGAATAAGTTCTATACAAACTAGTCAGACAGACAGACACACACACACACACACACACACACACACACATTGCTTGGAACACTAAATGCTCTATAAGTGCTTAGTGGTATTTCTCATAAACTCAGAAGTTTGGACAAAAACATGCCAAAGTTGAGATGGATGTACTGTTATGTTGTCATATTGCACAGTGCCCCAATCTGTGCTACCAGAATCCAGTAACTGGGTCACAGCTATCACCCAACTGCCCAACTCACAGTACTATGTCTATGCCTAAGATGAAAGCTAAGAGCAAGAACGATAATGTCAGCTACCTTGTTTCAAAGTTCTTCCTCCACTCCCATTTAACAAGCTCTTTTTGTGCTATTTCATCCCCTTAAACTTGTTTAATCCTCTGAATATGAAAAATATCTGTCCTAAGAAGGTTAAAGACTAAACCACATCACATATGTGAAGTTTCCCATACAAAGTCATTAGCCAATAAATATTCCCAAGTATTATGCTATGAGTCTTAAGCAGGGAAGAAATGTCTTTGAAAGAGGTTGCTCTGATTTACTTGGAACTGTTATGTTTGAAATGAAGACTAATGCATCCCTTCCAGAATGGCCTTATATCAAGACATAAATTGTCATCTTAGTAGAAAATTGATAATCTTTAGGAGGATGCTGAGATCACATCCAACCCTGTCCTAGGGTCCCATCAGAGCCAAATAAGAGCTGTATAACTTGTCAGCAATAAGCTGCAGACCAAAATTCCTAAACTCTTACCCTGGTCCAAATACAGGCCTAGCGTGTTTCCTTAAATATGTTATTTTAACTTATTTCTAACTCAGTTTCCTCTCTTGAAAATCTAGCATTAAAAATAAATACTAATTTGCCATAAGAACATTGAATTATAGCATTACCTAGTAAAGTCTATGTGATAAATAAAAAGGATAGTCCATTTGAAAGAAAGAGTACTACTAACCACATGAAGTTTTAGAGTAAATTCATTTACCTAAATTCAAGAACATGAATATCCTTGTAGCCTGGTAATCCAGTAAAGGCATTTTCAATCTGTTGAAAGTAAAAATTATAACTATGAGAAATATGGGAAAGTACATATAAAAGGTTTATAAGAGTAGAATAAAAAAATACTGTTTACAACTATTAGGAACTTAAACATAAACATAGATATAAACATATCTATGTTTATATCTATGTTTATGTATAAGTTATATATATTGTTTTATATATAAAACAATAGTTAGAATGATAGAAAATGTCATTTATCAGAAAACTGCCACTTTTTTTTCTTTTTCATTTTGCCTTTTAAGGATTTAATGTATTTTAATATTAATTTTTTCCAAATTATAAAAAAAAAACACTTCTTATTGGCAATGCACTGATATTTTTCCTTCATGTGGTAAAATGTGAAAAAAAGCATTCATTTCAAAAGAAGCTATAATATAAGCATTTTAAAATATTGTTTTGGATTAGAAATTTGGCCCCAGCACACAAATTGACAAAGAGTCAAGTGTCTGCTTTCTGTAAGTGTGAAAGTGTCTGGTGGCATCTGCTTCCTGTTCCTACAACACAAGAGAACCATGAACACAGTTCAGCATTTAAATGGGGTATACAAGCCCTGAGTTAGCCACAGGACAGAGGCCTTGCCAACTGGCTGTCAAGGAGGTAGTTAAGTAGTAGTAGCCAGATAACCCAACTGGTCAAAAGATCAATTTATGAGCATCACACCACAGGAGCTGGTTTTCATACTAAGTCTTTAAAATCTAGCCATTTAATTCCATGTGAGCTTAGTGGCTGGAGATGTAAAAAGGAATGCTAGACTAGACTAAGATCTAAAAATGATCAGATTATGCAAAACTACAAAAACACATATTTTAACAAAACTGAACACTTTATCCATAACATTTCAGAAGATGGCTAAACATATAGGTTACTATGGGGCCATCAGTAGAACAGGGGAAATAAGTTAACAAATTTTGGACCATCTCTGGATATCTGCTTTTAACCAAATTTTCACATAATCAGAAAAGGGGAAATTTTTAAAATTTTAATTCACTAAAGACCATCATGCCTTAAAAATAAAGGATTTAAACTCATGAAACGTTTTGTCTATAGTAACTTACCTTGTTTTATTTTTTTAAAAGAAAGAATAAATTCTTGCAGGATGGAGACAGAGGTGGAATTTGTAGAACTAGGAATCATGAGTCTGAGAGTTGGGCCCAGCTCTGTTTGCTGGTAGATTTGGCCATGTATAAGCCTTCCTTTATAACACTAATACTGAAATCTACCATATTAACTTTTGTAATATTACAATGAATGTACAAGAAATCCTCAAAATGCTGTCCTACTACACATTATTATTATTACAAAACCCATCTAAGGCCTGGGCCATGCCATCTCTTAAGTCTAAACATGTAAAGGTCTTCTAATTCTTCACATCTAGTTAATACTGCACAGGAATCCAGGACAATAAGTCATTCCACCTTATAAATACCAATATTAATAATAGGCACAATTTATTGAGTTGAGTACTGAGTCTTTGCAATATTACTTCTGATTTTTGCAACACTTCCAAGATATATATATTAACCTGATTTTATAGATGAGAAAACTGACACACTAAAATGTCAATCAATTTGGCCAGAATCACATATTTGGTGACTGAATCAGAGTTTATTTATTTAACCTCAAATCTCTCTAATACTAAAGCCCATATATTTTTCACTGAATTAAACTTTTTATCTTCCTTTTTCTCTTCTTCATGGTGAGTATACTCTAGAATTAGGATCAGAACTGGAAAAACTGTGAAATTCACCCCAACTTCTCCCTTGAATTAAAACAAAGGGGTTTCTGTACAATATAAAGGAAGAAACCCTTTGAAAAGTAGAAAGAGACCTGATTTTACAATCTGCTCCAAAAAAAGCTAAAAGAACAAGAACAAGTTGGGCCTCTTGAACTTTGTCTGTTAAATGAAGATACTTATCCACATGGATGCTGTGGACAGACAAAAAGGAAGCAGCTTGTAGAAGCACTGTATCCTTCTATAAAAAGCACCATGCTAGGGAACTACATGGGTTCAGTGACTGCCTTAAGGTACCTTCCCAAAGTCATCACGCTCTTTTTAAACTCTGACATCATACTTAGTGTTGTCCCAAGTTCATCATACCACCTCTTCCTCTCACCTTTCT